TACTGAATGATCATAAAGATGGTGGGATGATAGCGAGGTATTATCCCCTGGAGCCATATCATCCATATTCACCTTAAACTCAGAATCCAGACCTAAAGTTCCCATCACTACAGTCATTTTATTTTGAGTTAGTGTGCCGGTTTTATCAGAGCAAACAGTGGTGGCGCCGCCCATAGTTTCACAAGCCTTGAGTAACCGAACTAAGTTATTATCTTTGAGCATTCGAGAAGTAGCAAAAGCTAATGCCAACGTAACAGCTAGGGGTAAACCCTCTGGGACTGCAACTACTACAACTGTAATAGCAGTAATAAGTATTTTAATAAATTTTTGGCCCTTTTGGGCTGGAGTGAGTCCTATCTCCGTATAGTGAGGCAAATTGACTAAAAACTTGATTAAAAGCACCGTAAATAAAACCAATGCAGCAAGAGAACCTAATTTAGCAATACCATTAGCAATACCATCTAGTTTAACTTGAAGTGGCGTTTCTTCTGTTTCTGTTTGTAACGAAGCCATAGTGTGTCCATAGCGAGAATTGACACCCACCGCAGTGATGAGATAGTGGCCGGCACCTTCCAAAATCTTGGAACCCGAGATGATGAAGCAATCAGGTGGGTTTACTGTTTCCGCATCTGAGGATTGCATTCTTTGTTCACAGTCGTTGACAAGAACTTTCTTTATTGTATCAGACTCACCAGTAGCGGAAGACTCATCACATGTTACATTGTATCCACTAATGAGTAGTCCATCGGCTGGAACCATATCACCCGGCTCTAGTAACACTATATCTCCAACTAGAATATCGTAAATCGATATTTCCTGAGTTTTTCCTGATCGAATGGCTTTAATTTTGCGGTCCTCTTTCTTTTCGTTTAGCTTAATAAATTGGCGTTCCTTTTGCCAATCATTGATTGCTCCCACAATAACTACAATTCCAATGGCTACAACAATTGCCACACCCTCAATCCAATCTACACGTGGTAAAACGTTTCCTTGAGAGTCGTGATCTGGTGGTTGGGTAAATGTTTGATAAAGGCCCAAAGCTAAAGATATGACAGCAGCCACTGAAAGTAGAATAAGGACTTGATCATTCAAAGCAATCCACATTAACTTAAGGATACTATTTGCTCTTTTTACAGGAAGCACATTTCGACCATAAACCTTAACACGTGAATTTGATGATCCTGATGATAGCGAGTTTGCCAGCTCATCGGCAGAGAGGCCCGCATTAATATCTGTATCTAAATCGCGGACCAACGCATTGAATCCACCAAAAGCACTGAGCTGTCCAAAGTCTTTCGTATCACAAAGTTTACTTAACTGTTCTGGAGAGATTGTATAAATATCGTTATCATTACGATGGATATTATTATTTTGCAGAGTCGAGGTTCTTCCTTGTCTTGTCGAGGTTATCGGCTTACTGGACTTTTTGGCTGCGGCTGAAGAAGCGTCCGCTTGTTCCGAGTGCAATAAGGACGACGAAGACCGCGAATTGGATCGAGACGAGAATGGCGAATTGCCAATATTTGAGGGGCTTGAAGAGGGCATATACTATATTAAGGTGGGTAGGCTTCGATCCGTTTCAAAGCCAATAGCTTTAAAAGAAATGATGTTAGTGGATATTTAGTACAAGAAACCTTTAGCGGTGGGCTGAGTACTCACTTTAGTGTCCACAACAATTGCAGAAAAAGATCCTGGCACTTTTATTTTCTTTGGCCAATTAAAAGTATTTATTAGTTCTTGAAAAATAACTAAGGATGAAAATGGATTACCTCATTTAGTGGGCAAAATAGTTGGCGCGGTTTTTGAAATTGGAAATGACTGAAAGTAAAATAAGATAAGATTTATAAGGAAATGGTAATAATCACTTGGGACGTCAAACAGCCAGTTGCTTCGGATAATAATTATGGTTAATTGCAGTCAAACCGCTAAACCAATAATCACCTCTGCGTTTCTTGCAAAGGGAAAAACGCTTCAAATTTAAGCAATTGTACAAACTCTTATCACATCCACCTTAGACAAACTAAGACAATTGGCATTCTTTACTCAAAGTACGGGTGTTACAAGGAGCGCACACTCAGTTCTGTGGCTGGTTACCTTACAATTTAATACATAACATCAGGTATCATGAGGCCTGTAACTGGTTTTCAAACAAAAATTCCCTAAATTTATTGTTTACTTCTACTTATATTTCATTACAGATGTATATTGGTTTAGATATATTTCAGTTGTTTTGTCCCCAGTATAAGAATTTTGTTTGCTCGATACACTTTTGAGAGATTCGAATTCTGGGGCTGTGCATTTGAACTCCACATGCAGCTCTTGGAAGAGACTCCAACACACTGCACGGCTCAGGGCTTATAGCCTGATATATCTTAAACTCCGTATTTTTAACTTCTGGTGTTTGTTCTACGCGCTATATGTATTAAAAATGTTCAATATTTGCAAAACGTGTAGAGATGTTACAGCATTCAAAATTTCGATTAGATAAAGGAATAAATTAAATTAAAGTACAATCTTAAAGCAAAATTAAAATATTTATTCGACATCAACACCACCCTTTCTCTTAAGGATAGCCTTTCTGGACTTGTCAATGTTCAACTTGGTGATGACAACGTTAGAAGGATGAAGGTTGATAGGGACAGAAGCTCCGTTAGCCTTATCCTTGGTGACCTTTTCAACTTGAACCGACCACTTTAATCTGTAAACTTGAGAGATCTTGCCTTCACGGCCCTTGAAGGAACCACGAACAATGCGGACTTCGTCATCCTTGGTAATGGGCATAGAGCGGACATTGTATTGTTCACGGAGCTCCTTGGAAAGAGGAGCGGACATGATGACACGTCTGACCGAGGAAGGAGCACTGAAGTGAGCCTTTCTGGACTTTCTACGAGAGCAAGAAACGTCTGTAAAACTAGTTAGCAATGAAAAAAATATAGCGGAAAATGGTAAAGATCTATGAAATTGAATGTCTTTGTCTACTTGAAAAAGAAGACAAGGAACGCTAATTTCAAGTTTGAATTTTTTTTAACAAAAGTCAAAAGTTTGCCGGTTTATTTTTGATTGTTTTCTTAGCATTGGCGTCCTCTATCAATTTACTTTTGTTCGATCTTGAAATTGAAAGCTTTAGGCTTTGTATGTTTGATCATCCGGTTGGTATTCAAATGTCTGAATCACCTCTTTTCTTTTTCGATTGTTTTCAGAAGAGTTCTTACGCCTTTCTTAATCAATTCACTAATAAGCTTGTAATCTAGGTTGAAAAATCTTATTCTTAAAAGTGACGTCAAAAGTTGCAAGTAAACAGCAGCCGATTGCTTGCCAACAAAGCGGGTGTTGAATGAAAAAAGTAAAACACATCGACTTGGTAATAGGAATAGCAATACTCCGGCCAGAAATATCGCAAATCGAAACAGCAAAACTAAAGGATACTTTTGCGACTTTAAGTTCATATAATTATTGATAGTCCCCTGTAAAGATAAAACCGATTTCTACGTCAACAATTCCAGATACATTGACCCAGGAAAACCCTTAGATAAGACTCCAATATGAGTTTGTCGGGCTGTATAACAAAGCCATTATTGAAATAGAAAAACAAAACAAAAATAAACAGAAACCATCTCATTTTTAGTCGAAAAAATTAAAAATAAAAATGTGTCTTCAAAAACCCAATATCAAAGGTCTCAAACATATCTCCTAATACAATTTATAACATACCGAGTGATAACTTAGCCATTTTAGATGATGATTTTCTTAGTCGGTCTGTAAAAAGTACAAAAGAAAGAAAAAAAATTAGCTACGCAAAATTTTGTTTTCTTCCAATGTTGTCTCTCTCCAGGGGGGCGACTCCGAACTCCCAGCTATACCTCCTTTAAAAGGGATTGCCTACTCATTTCAAACTCATATAGTATTTGTAATATAGTATATTCATACTACAATATATTTACGCTATTATTGGCGCCTACCATATTTCATGTATTTATGTATTCCGGCTCATATACTGATAGTTTTCGATCTTTGGTCCCAAAGGCACAATTTTTTACACAAAGCCGCTGGGTTGGGACTAACCTAATGAGGAAAAAGCCAGTCACTAGTTATTTGGAATCCAATATTCTTTTCTTTCTTCACGTGAACTGGATATCGTTGATATTATACTCTAATCATTATATGTATTAAAACTCAAGAGACTAGGATCCAAAAATTACCCATTGTTTATATATATATATGTATACTCGGCCTTTTTCTCTTGTAAATTACACTTTGAAGCAATTGGATTTTGTTGCATCCTATAATTAAGTTCAGATTTTAAACTAGAACTCATCTGAAAACGTCTGTTTTTGTAATATTCTTTTTCTGCGTAGTTAAAATAAACAAAATACATTCCCTTACGTCTGCGGCCATATCCACTGGAAAGCACGATTTCCCGTCCGATCAATCATAGTTAAGCCAGTGAGAGCCTTCATAAGTACTACGGTGGGAGACCACGTGGGAACATGAGGTGCTGCAGTCTTTTTTACTTCTGTAAACAGAGTTGATAACTTCGTTCCAATATTCGGTTGTGCCATAACGAAACGGTGTAGAACTTTGTGCTATATGCAAGTTAAACATCTTTTTAGTAATAACATACTGAGAGGAATCGTCGTACATATACTCTCGAGTTTCTTTAGTTTAAGGCTATTCTATCAGCCTTACATTCTGGGTTTTATTGATGTCGTTGGACACTGTAATTATAAGTTCCATGAAGACAATAGACAACGCAATCAATTCCTTCTTTCCCAGGTAAAACATTTATTTGTTGAAAACAAGGTTTAAATGCTTTAAAATCTGTAGTATATTATAAGTACCAAAAAAAGGAAAATGACAACACCCTGAGCTATTAACCAAACGTGAAATTAGATAGCCTAATTATGCACTATCTCTATAAAAAAAGGTCGTGCCCGGATTCGAACTGGGGTTATCGGAATCAGAAACCGATGTGATAACCACTACACTACACAACCTGGATTGGGCTCAACTGGGAATCGAACCCAGGACCTCTCGCAAGCGTTTAACATTTTAACCCAAAGCGAGAATCATACCTCTAGACCATTAAGCCAATTACGTGATGGAAAAGAAAATTGGCCTTTACAAATGCAGTATTTTTGATATTAGTTTTAGAGTTTGTTTTTCTTTGTGGTTGTTTTTTTCAATAAATGAATCCATATTAATTAATACTTTTATAACATTTCTTTTTGCTTTTAGTCCGGGATTTATAAAAATATTATACATTTATTTGTTTTTTTTTTAATTTTGGATTTAACACAGACGGACGGCGTCAGAAAGACAGACGTAGATATTTGCGTTTTAAAAGGGTACATAAAGGGCACTGAAAGCTAAAAATTAAAAAAAAAACAAAAAACTGATAGGTTGTATAATCCCAGAAGAAATAATAACTAAAAATATTATTTAGCATGACTATTCGTTAACCTCTTTAAATTATCACATCAGACCGAAACACAAGCTTTAATATGTACGTAAAAAATATTAGTTAATATAAAACAGACCTCTATACACGGCTGCTTTAGAGGTTTTTATTTTGTGGTTCAGTAGACTTTTTATATATCAGCCAAGAGCTACTAGTAGATATTCATATGACTTTTTTAAAAGCAAAAAGTACTAAAATGAAAATAGTTATAATACCTGTGCTTTCTTTAGTTTCTGATCTTTTGCATATTTTTATGCACCTCCATTATTAGTCCAAACTATCCAAGCATAGCATATTGACTTTTAGGCTATTTAAAAAGAGTTCCGAAACACCTATTAATTGAATAGCATTAATCTTACATACACCAACTTCAAGACACTAAGTAGACACACACTATCATTCGTATGATGGTGTACTCAGTTATAACTTGAATTAGTAACTCGATTTAGTTTCTAGCAGCCCTGATAATCAGATTCTATATCAGTATAAGATTTAGCTGGTATTATTATTGTGATAATAGTATCTCTTTTATATTTAGCCCCTGAAGTAGATCATCAGCCGCAGAGTTGGTAACCATCCCTATTAACTCACCTTCAGCGTAGTTTTCTAGAAGGAAGGGACTTAGTCCAGACTTAGTTATTTTCCGGTCGCATATTTGGAGGTAAATTAAAGGTAAACGTGTAGATAGTAATTGTTTATGACCTTGAGGTGTTAGTATTGTCGGCGCCGACAAAATACCTATACTTCTTCGTTCATCTCTGGTGCCACGACTAAGATTATTTAATACTCCGGTTAAATCTCGAAAATATTTACCAGACATTTTTGAAGATGTACATTTGCATTGAATAACAACAGATAACAAACCACCAGGTGACTTTCCTTCATTGCTTTTGCAAATTCGATTCAATTTCCAGATTCCCAAAAGATCAATTCCTTGATCTCCAACTCCACCAACTCGGACTAAATTACTTATACTCAAGCAATTTTCGAGTACATTTTTAACCGTGTACTCGTATAAAGTTCCTCGAAAAACAGACGACTTTAGCGACTTATTGGTAAATTTGATATGCTTTAAGTAAGATTGTTCATCAAAATGACTACTGGTCACTGTCCGAGATGAAAACCATTTAGACAGCGAATATCTGGCATAAATAGACAAACAATTCCTCGAATTTAAGAGGCATATCATTTTTTAATAAGATCCTTATATAATTCTCTTTTTATTGACGACATGCGTTATTCTTCATTGTGTTAGTAAGACTTGGAAGGAGAGCTGGCTGGCGCTCGAGATAAACAGCCCAAGATTAAAAATCGTTGAAAGTTATGAACCATTGTGTTGTCACTCACACTAGCCATCATATCACGTTCATCCATTCCAACCTACGAACAAATGGACTATACCTGAAGAATTAACAATAGTTCTCGGTATTTATCTTATACGTTAGACCAAGAGTAAAACTGAGAGTAACTAGGTTTTTGAATAAAATATCAATCTTTAGTAATTGTGTATCATTAGGTGGCAAAATAAGGTCAGGGAGGAAGAGTTTAATTACGATGAATTATATCCTATCAATTGTAATATGGCTTTGCCTGACACCCTTTTTTAGCTTTGTCAACACAGAAAATTCGTTTATTGCAAATAAAAGTATCAGATCGATTCCGGAGCCTTTTTTTCCAGTTCCTATTCTCTCCGAAGAGCATGATATAAAAGAGGATAATTCCACCATATTAAAGAAGGTTGGAAACTTTAATACCTGGAATATTACAGATATAATTATTGTTACAACGATAGATGGTAGCTTAAATGCTTTAAATCGAAAATCTGGCCAATTACTTTGGTCAATCGCAAATAACACACCCTTGGTATCAATTAAACAAAATAAAAACGCTAAATCACACCCGTTTATAAATGAGTATGAAGAACTAATATGGATTATCGAACCCTTAGATGACGGAACGGTATACACATTTTCAAATGGGATTATAACCAAAACATCAGCAAGTATTAAAGAAATAGTTATGGGATCTCCTTTTGCAGTACCTGGTGATGATAGAGTATACATAGGAACCCGACACACAACATTATATTCTGTGGATATAAGAACAGGACAGATAAGGAAAACTTACAGTTCATTTGATGATCCAGTTGACAATAACAAATGTGACGCGAAATGTGACGATAATTATGAGTGTAATGTTTCGATTGAAGACGAAAATAGTTTTCTAATAGGAAAAACTGAATATCATATTACTACATATGATAGGGACAACCTCAAACAAAAGTTGATATATTCTTCATGGGGAGCTAATAGTATAGACCTAGACTTGGCTTCGCAATATGATAAATCTTATGACAACATCTTTATTATGACTTCGCCTGAAGGAAAATTAATTGCATTTGATAATACCAAAGGCACAGTCTTATGGGAATCGGCGCTTCCTTCCTCCCCTATAAACACTTTCAATGTCTTTTCTCATGACCATTTAATTATTATACCGCAGCAAAAATCCCAAAGTAAGGTATTAAATGAGAAGGATAAAGAATTTGGAGAGTATCTTTATATTCAACAGACGAACGATGATATATGGTTTGCGATGTCAGATAAAAATTTCCCACTCATAAAAACTACCATGGCCACATCTATGTATTCTAATCAGAATGAAATTGTTAATTCTGGCGAACTATATGAGTCATTAAAAGGTTTGCACAAAATCAACGGCGAGCCTACTGATGATTATGAGATAGGTTTGGCGCAAGGGCTATCAAATTCAAAAAACTATTATTCTGATGAGCAAGATTCAGTTAGTCAAAAATATGGCATCTCAACTAGTACTATCAGTAATGAAGTGCTTTCGTTTGAGCTAATAGAACTATATGCAAGAGAAATTATAATTCTATCAACGAGGTGGTTCCAATCACTTTTTAGCAAGGCAGTTGAAGCTATATTTTCATTTTTGATTATAGTAACCATTATAGTATTTGGAAGTAAATTTTGGGTTGGACGAAACGGAATTGAGAATAAACATAACTCGCTCATGAATCGTTTACAAGATGATTCCAATGACCCCGGAGACTACAATCCAGTTATTGTTGAAAAATCCTTGGTAGATATAGAGATTCCGGATAATGACACCCATATTGGAAAAATTCTCGATACTAGTAAAATACTTTCATCAGACAGTTTGAAAGTGGGTTCGGAAAGCACGATCTATTTGGAAAAAAGGATATCTGAATCAAAACAAAAACAAAATCCAAAAAATGAAGAATCATTCGACGAAAAAACAGATACAGAAATACATAGTTCCTATTTCGATGATTCATATTACGATGATAGTGAGTACACTGAAGATCAGATTTCAATTGTCATTGAAGATGAATCAGGTGATGGAATAATGGACGAAATAAAAAACGATACCAGCGACATTCTTCCTAATGAACTACCATCACAAAGTTCTGAAAGAAATATTTGTCCCAAGGATTCTATCAGATACGAGAACTCATTAATAGTTTCAAAGAAGATTTTAGGTTACGGTAGCCATGGTACAATAGTATTCCAGGGGAAATACTACAACCGGGATGTCGCTGTTAAAAGATTACTATTGGACTTCTACGATGTGGCTTCACATGAAATAACTTTACTCCAAGAGAGTAATGACCATCCAAATATTGTTCGTTATTTCTGTAAACAGGAGAGCAAAAAATTTTTGTATATTGCGCTTGAATTGTGTTCTGCATCATTATACGATGTGATTGAAAAATCATCGTTATATCCAGAGCTTGTTAACCAAATGACATCTAAGAATACTCTTTACCAGATTGCTAACGGTGTTAGTTATTTGCATTCTTTGAAAATGGTTCATCGGGATATCAAGCCTCAAAATATACTCGTCGCACCACCTAGAAAAAATCGTATCAGCTACTCTTCTTACTACCATTATAATGAGCATTCGTCGCCCGTTCGTATATTAGTGACTGATTTTGGGGTCTCAAAGAAGTTAGATATTGATCAGTCTAGTTTTGGGCCTACATCAGCTCTTCCGGTTGGTACTTCTGGTTGGATGGCACCCGAACTACTAACGAGTGATAACACCCGTCCTCGCGGTACTCGTGCTATCGATATATTTTCACTTGGCTGTGTATTCTACTATGTTTTATCGGGTGGCTCACATCCTTTTGGGGAAGAATATGATCGTAATGGTAATATTATCCGAAATAAAGTGTCGTTCAGAAATTTGGATCTTTTAGCCTACGATTATAGCGAATGCGTTGACCTGATAAACCGAATGATCGCCCATAAACCCAAGGATCGCCCAGACATAACTGACGTCTTAACTCACCCCTATTTTTGGACGTCTTCTCAACGTCTAGAGTTTCTTGTAAAGCTAAGTGATAGAATGGACAGCGAAATTAAAGACCCCCCCAGCCCTTTGATTAAATCATTCGAGTCTCAATCAAGGAAGATTGTGGGAAAAGATTGGCACACCAGATTTGAAAAAATATTTGTTAACGAAATAGAAAGGCAGCGAAAGTACCGGGGTGAAAGAATCCTTGATCTTTTAAGAGCGATGCGTAATAAAAGTCATCATTATGATAATTTGCCCGAAAATATTATGGCCTTAGTGGGGCCCCT